TAGCAAATATATAATGCAATGCATGCTATAGCATTTTGTGATTATTAGGAACGATTTTGTGAAATCATAGGTTTTAAAAAGTGGACCTTTTAGAATGTGTGGGGGGTGCGTCCGTGCCCTCTGCACCCCTCCCCCCTGCCTATGGGCCTGCATAACTGTATAAACAGAAAACTATCGCCCACCATTTTTGATCCTCCTAAAACGCAAACACAACCTTTTTATTTTAAGTTACCTTATACACCATTGTCCAACTGTTGCCAACGAAAAATCAACTCTATAGTAAAAAATTATTGCTTTAATATTAATGTTAAACTTGTTTTTGAATCATGTAAATCATCTATTTTTTAAATGTCTCCGAGCCCGTGTTGTCTACAAACTGTCTCTTATACACATCTAGATGTGTATAAGAGACAGATTTTCAGGTTACTTCTGTGGTCATTGCTTTTGCACGCGTTAATTTCAATTCTCAGTTTCTTTTGTTTCTGAGACAGATTTATAATTTCATTGTTTTGGATGTCATTTACCCTATTTTTAGTTTTAAACCCTACTACATACTTAGCCACCTCCTTGCAGACGTGCGCAACATGTCCCCACTTTTTAAGTATGTCAGTGTTGCTTAACTTATGAGTGTCTAGTTTTTGTGTTATTCTAGCTTTGTATTTTTCCTGGTTAGTAGTATCGGTAAGTTTCATTACATCTAATACTCGGCTCGCCTTTTTGGGTTTCATCTTAACATATTGCAGCCTAAACTGTGTTTTTACTAATCTGTGGTCGGTTTCAACGTTAATACCACTATAGGATCTAGAATTTGTGATACAGTTTACATTCTTTTTCCTAACCATTATGTAGTCCACTTGATTTCTATAGGGGTTTCTACGTGGCGTACCATCCCTATCATTGTGCGGTTTAATTCTGGCAGGCTGCACCCAAGTTGTGCGATGAGACATTTTGTGTTGAAACATGGTGTTGGTAAGTGTGAGCTTATGTCTTAATGCCATCTCCAACAATGCTATCCCATTACTGTTGAGCTCGCCTTTTCCATATTTACCCATACAAAGCGAAAAACCATTATGGTACCCCGACCCGGTCTTGGCGTTCATATCCCCCGCGATGATTAATAAGCTTCTACTACTAACGCTATTTATTATGCTTTCGAGCTCGTCATAATATTGTTCCCTTAGTACCGGCTGATTTTCGCTCACCTTAAGTGTGTGTGCATAAGTTGAGATAAAATGAACATACCTTGGCTTGTTTGCTTTCTCATCAATCCTAAAAGTAGCCATACACGTTCTATCAGAAAAACCTTTAAATTTAGCACACAAACCCTTCTCGATAGCAATACCGACTCCATGGTGTGAGTTGTTGTCCGATCCCGTGTAGAAAAGAACGTATTTGAGATTCCCGCTACAAGGCAAGTCGATAACACCTGTGCCTTGCAGGTGCGTTTCCTGTACGCCGAGTATCTGCACATTGTATCGCTCTAGATCCAGGGCTAGGTCTTTCTGCTTTAAATGCGATCTAATTCCTCTAACATTCAATGTTCCAACCGCTAATTTTTCACATTTACGGGGTCTAATACACATATTCTTGCTTTTCACCGCAGCCAAAAGGCGGGATTTCGTGAGACTTTGACGTATTTGATGTTAGAATTCTGACGCTTGATAGCGCTAGTGTGGCTAGTGTTGATAATGATATGATAAATAACTACATAAGCCTGAAGTTTGATTTAATGATGATTTAATCAATTAGTTTTATGATTGTATTGCTACTTTCTGAATGTTAATAATTATGATTGTTGTTATTTGATTGCCAAAATTTTACGACACGGCTTGATATGACGGCAAGAAAGATAGAATAAATGATACAGCCGAAGCCAGTAAAATCGTTTCAGTGTCCTTATTGATCTGCATATTAAAGCTGCTACGTTGAGGCAGCTACAGTGACCTTAGTTGGTCTTTTCTAACTCAGAATCTCGTTTAACTTAGAATCTCTTTTTATCGAAATTCATGCAAAACCTAAAAATGTAATCTTGGGTGCAATTTACTGTTTACCCGAGCTCCCTTCAGACTCTTTTAATATTAATATTTTTTACTATTCTTAATACTATCAATAAAGAAATAAAATGTCTTATTTATGCGGTGACTTTAATATGACTTATGTAATACAATTCCCACACAAAATTCTTCAGCGCTATGTTTAATTCTAATTTGTATCCGTTAATAAACAGGCCCCACCTGAATAACCAAAGCGACTGCTACACTTACTGACAATATGTTTTGCAATGATATCAAGAATGGAATTTCTGGCATATTTCACTGTTTTTTTTCCCTGAATCATTTATCAGTTTCCTTTACCTTAATCGACTTAACTCTAAGTATATTTATTTGCAGAAAATTCATGATAACACATTAGCCGCCTTAAACTAGGATATCCTCAAAACCGACTGGTCTGACATTTACTCTATTAACTACGATCCTAATCTTGCTTTATGGGTATTCCATGATAAACTTAATTAGGCCTATGTGATAAATAAAAATATTAAAACATCGTTACAGGCGCAAATTCCGTAGACCGCAAACCGTGGATCACTAATGCTATTATTACATCTATTGACTCTAGGAATAAGTTGCATAAAAAATATATTAAAACTGGTAAAGAATCAGATAAAAATAAATATGCAAATATCGTAATAAATTAAATAATCTTATTCGTATCTCTACCAGAAGTTAGTACAAAAATAAATTCACCTGGCAAACCGTTAACTCTGTCCTTGGAAAGAAAATTAAAGCCGCCTTGCCTTCATATTTCAATTATAACCGATACCACGACTATTTCACAAAATTTCAATGATTATTCTAGTCATACTGGTCCGACCCTTGAAATAGTATTGTCAAGCCAGTCGGAGTAAAAACCTACAATTCTTCCAGTTTATAGGATTTTTTTCGTAACCCAATTCCATTAATGAATTTATTACCATTTTTAATGAAAATAGAAGTTCTAGTTATGATAAATTTTCCAATTCTATTATTAAAAACATTTTGAATTCTATTTCAAATCCCCTCGATCACATGTTTAATTCTTTGTTTATTACTACCATTTCCCCCAAGTCCTTTAAGATTGCCAAGGTTGTTTTTTATTAATAAAAAATATGGATCTTTGTTACCTTGCTTTTCTAAAATTTTTGAACGATTGATTCACTTTAAATCATATAATTTTTTGAACAAACAACATAATTTACTCAAAGCAGTATATATGGTTTTAGAAAGAAATTCTCAACTCACCTAGCTTTATTAGACATTTTATGACAAAATAACAAATGCAATCAAGAACAATGAATATACTGTTGGAAGTTTTTGAAAGGCCTTTGATATCATCCATCATAATATACTTACCAAAGAACTCGAAAGCTATATGGTATCAGAGGCGTTGCTCTTAAATTAATGAAATATTATCTTACCGATAAACATCAATTTACCTCCGTTAACACAATTAATTCAAACATTTCTCGCATTAAATACGTGTCTCTCAAGGCTCCATTCTAGGTTCTTTATTTTCAATTTACGTTAATGATATTTTAAATTGCTCCAATATTTTTCACTTCGTTTTGTTTGCCGACGACACAAATATTTTCTTTTCCCACAAAAATAAACACAATCTTTTCTCAATCTTAAATTCTGAGTTAATTAAAATTTACAACAGGTTTAAGTTAAAAAATTATCTTTAAATATCGATAAGTAATTTTGCCTGGCTGTACATTCAGACTAATTAATATTATGTCCCTCGCCCAACACCCTACCTATTGTATTCATCTCAGGAAAGAGGTTTTTGTTTGTTTGTTGTATTGGTTTTTCCACACACAACATAAAAAGTACAATGAATGCAAACTTGATATATCACAAAAGTAGAAAAAAAAATCATATATACTGTAAATTAGAAATCGAATAAATAAGTGTGTGGATGGAAACCAAAATAAGTTTGTTTTTTTACAAGTCATGGCCACCGGTTAAAAGTATAATAAAATAAAATTAGATTTGATGGCGAACAAATAACTGTATTCACATATTATGTGAATGATCACAGGCAGTCTGGTTTGACATTAAATTTAAGTTTAAATACACACTGCTCCATAAAATATTTTTTGAGACATCATAAATATGTTTGGATTTCTTCAGTCTCTTTATTCATGTCTCTAAATTTAAAATTAATGGCAAGCAAAAAGTATTAAATATTGAGAAAGAATATACATACACATACATACATCCCCCTCACACACACACGCATACATTTATACACGCATATATGCATATATATATATATATATATATATATATATATATATACATACATACACACACACATACACACACACACACACACACCCACACACCTACATACACACATACCTTTAGTTTCGGCTGTATATAATTGTAATCTCGATGTAAATAAAACAGACAAACAGAAATGTAATGATGCATAAACACAAACAGAAGGCTTACCTATCATATACCGAGACCAGAGATTTTTCAATTTATGTTTAAAGGAATAAATATTAGGCAAAGATTTAGAGGAAATATTTAAGGAATTCCAATGTTTAGGCCCATAATAGATTTTTTTTTCTAAGAGAGGATATATATTTCCAAGCTAGTTTTATAATTATGAATATTGGAACTGTTGTATTGGAAATAAGAAAGAAATATGTTTGGGTAATGTGTTGTTCTTGAAACGGTACATGAAAGTAAGTGTTTGTGACTTGTTTAGGTCAAAAACATTAAGGACATTGAATTTATAAAATAATGGTTTAGTATGTTATAAACGTGATGACACTGCACAGATGTTGTCAATATTCGTTGTTTTAATACCTGTCCAAGGACATAAATATAACAATTTGTCGATTATAGTAGCCCACGAAGTATTACAGTAACTAATGTATGGTAAAACTAATGTATTATATATGGTTAAAAAAACATGTTGAGGAAAATCATTTTAAAATTTATTCATAATATCGATGTTTCGAGAAATGATATTTGAATTTTTATTATGGTAGGGTTGTCAAGATAATTTTGAGTCTAAGATTACTTCAAGAAATTTTGTTTCATTAACCTGATTAATGATATTGTTATCAATTTTTATGAGAAAAGAATCATTTTTTTTAAATTTTATAATTAAAGAGAATAAATTTGGTTTTAGATACATTGAAGGAAAGTTTATTTAACTTAAACCAATTGCAGACCTTAATTAATTCGTTATTAATAATTTCGAAAAGATTGTTAATATTTTTATGTGAGAAAAATATATTAGCATCATTAGCGAAAAGGACAACATTTAAGGAAGATGAACAATTAGGAAGATCATTTACATAAATTAAAATAATAAAGGGCCCAGAATAGATCCTTGCAGAACACAACAACCAATTCTGGAAGAATGAGAGTTGTAAGAATTAAATGAAGTAAATTGTTGCCTATTGCCTTGGTAGCTCCTAAATAAGCTCAGAGGAAGGCCTCAGATACCATCGTTCAAGTTTATTTAAAAGAATCGCATGATCAATTGTATCAAAGTCCTTGCTCAAATCAAGACAAATACCAGCTGTAAAAGTATTATTGCTAATAGCTTTGGTAACTTGATCATATATATCAATCAAAGCAAAGTCTGAAATATAAAATTTTCTAAAACCATACTGACGATTATGTAAAATTTCAAATTTGGATAAATAATCAAAAGGTTTATTATAAATTAGACGTTCAAGAATTTTTGAGAAACAAGATAATAAAGAAATAGGCCTGTAGTTATTAAATAAATGAGGTTAGCTTTTTTGAAAATAGGAACCACCTTGGCTATTTTGAGATTGTTAGGAAAAATTCCTTCCGCAAAACAAAAGTAAACGATATGGCATAAAGGTTTGGAAATTAAATTAAAAATAGATTTAATAACCATATTGGATATTTCTTTAAAATCTGGGGTCTTATTGTCTTTAACAATATCAATAATTTCATTTTCTGTAATTGGAAAAAGAAAAACATATTTTTAGGAGGTGCATTAAGATATGAAGAAAAGTGTTGATTAATGGGATTCCTAATAGTCTCTGCACGGTCTGGTCCGATATTTAAAAATATTAATCAATTAAATTATTAGAAATAGTAAATAAATCTGTAATATTAAACCCTTTATGGAGAAAAAAAGAGGTCCGATATTTAAAAATATTAATCAATTAAATTATTAGAAACAGTAAATGAATCTATAATATTATATCCTTTACGGAGAAAAAAAGATGGAAAACGTTTATGTTTGTTACGTCCAAAAACAGAATTAATGGTTTGCCATGTTTTAAAAATTGTTGTCTTCATACGAATTAATTTATCATTGTAATGCTTTTTACGAGTTGGTCAATTTATTTCTATACTTTACATACTTATTTTTGTCCGATTGTTTTTTTTTTTTGTTTTTTTTTTTTTGTCCGATTGTTTTTTTTTTTTTTGTTTTTTTTTTGGGGTTTTTTTTTTATTTAAGGTATATTTTTATAAAGTCTATTTCTTATGCCAATCGATTTAATAATTCTAGTAGTTATCCATGGTTTCTTTTCATTGCGTATGTTTTTCTTACAT